CGCATTCAGAAGACCTACAACATCTGTTACAGAACCCCAGTATGCTGATGATAACGTAATCTGTGCGCATTCAGAAGACCTACAACATCTGTTACAGAACCCCAGTATGCTGATGATAACGTAATCTGTGCGCATTCAGAAGACCTACAACATCTGTTACAGAACCCCAGTATGCTGAAGATAACGTAGTCTATGCGCATTCAGAAGACCTACATCTGTTACAGAACCCCACTATGCTGAAGATAACATAGTCTGTGCGCATTCAGAAGACCTACAACATCTGTTACAGAACCCCAGTATGCTGATGATAACTTAGTCTGTGCACATTCAGAAGACCTACATCTGTTACAGAACCCCAGTATGCTGAAGATAACGTAGTCTATGCGCATTCAGAAGACCTACAACATCTGTTACAGAACCCCAGTATGCTGAAGATAACATAGTCTGTGCGCATTCAGAAGACCAACAACATCTGTTACAGAACCCCAGTATGCTGATGATAATGTAGTCTGTGCGCATTCAGAAGACCTACAACATCTGTTATAGAACCCCAGTATGCTGATGATAACGCATTCAGAAGACCTACAATATCTGTTACAGAACCCCAGTATGCTGATGATAACGTAGTCTGTGCGCATTCAGAAGACCTACATCTGTTACAGAACCCCACTATGCTGATGATAACGCATTCAGAAGACCTACAACATCTGTTACAGAACCCCAGTATGCTGAAGATAACGTAGTCTATGCGCATTCAGAAGACCTACAACATCTGTTACAGAACCCCAGTATGCTGATGATAACGTAGTCTGCATTCAGAAGACCTACAACATCTGTTACAGAACCCCAGTATGCTGATGATAATGTATTCTGTGCGCATTCAGAAGACCTATAACATCTGTTATAGAACCCCAGTATGCTGATGATAACGCATTCAGAAGACCTACAATATCTGTTATAGAACCCCAGTATGCTGATGATAACGCATTCAGAAGATCTACAATATCTGTTACAGAACCCCAGTATGCTGATGATAACGTAGTCTGTGCTCATTCAGAAGACCTACATCTGTTACAGAACCCCAGTATGCTGATGATAACGCATTCAGAAGACCTACATCTGTTACAGAACCCCAGTATGCTGATGATAACGTAGTCTGTGCGCATTCAGAAGACCTACAACATCTGTTACAGAACCCCAGTATGCTGAAGATAACGTAGTCTGTGCACATTCAGAAGGCCTACAACATCTGTTATAGAACCGCAGTATGCTGACGATAACATAGTCTCACTCCGAAGGGGACTCAGAGCGGCTTACAAGATCAACATACATACATAAAATATATTATGTTATTAGCATAGTACAATATCAGTATTATATATTACTATATTGTGCTATACCACTATACTGCAACATTATTAGTAATATTACAACTATATCAATAAACATGTAATGTTTGTTTGTGGGATTAACATAACTCAAAAACCACTGGACGAATTGCCGCCAAATTTGACCACAAGACATTTACTAACCGAAGGAGTGACCATCACTAAAAAAATGGATTTTGTCATTTTGGAGTTGTAGTTGCTGGGATTTATAGTTCACCTACAATCAAAGAGCATTCTGAACTCCACCAATAATTGAATTAAACCAAGTTTGGGACACAGGACTCCCATGACCAACAGAAAACACTAGAAGGGTTTAGTGGGCGTTGACCTTGAATTTGGGAGTTGTAGTTCACCTACATCCAGAGAGCACTGTGGACTCAAACATTGATGGATCTGGACTAAACTTGGCACGAATACTCCATATGCCCAAATATGAACACAGATGGAGTTTGGGGGAAATAGACCTTTACATTGGGGAGTTGTAGTTGCTGGGATTTATAGTTCACCTACAATCCAAGAGCATTCTGAACTCCACCAATAATGGAATTAAACCAATCTTGGGACACAGAACTCCCATGACCAACACAAACACTAAAAGGGTTTAGTGGGCATTGACCTTGAGTTTGGGAACTGTAGTTCACCTACATCCAGAGAGCACTGTGGACTCAAACAATGATGGATCTGGACCAAACTTGGCACGAATATTCCATATGTGCAAATATGAACACAGGTGGAGTTTGGGGGAAATAGACCTTTACATTTGGGAGTAGTAGTTACTGGGATTTATAGTTCACCTACAATCTATATCTATCTATATAGCTATACATTATACATTATCTATATATACATCTATATATACATTATCTATATATATAACAAAAGTCAAAGTTTATATATATGTGGCAGAACTGTATGTGGCAGCTTTTTGATTGGCGCCCACTTTCACAGGCCATTGTGACCAACAAGGGTGACGCACCTGCACCAAACTTGGCAAACATAACCCCCAGGACCCCCTTTACGTCCTGGTGCAGTATGGGGGAGGTGGACCACAGATTATGGAATTTGTAGTACTTTCAAATGGTTTGGTTCCCATGGACCACTATGGCCCCCAACAAAGAGTGATAAAGACCAAACTTGGCACTCATCCAATGACCGCTCAAGACCAAACTTGGCACACAGAGCCCCCATGACCCACTCTACATCCTGATGCAGTTCTAAGGGGGATAGACCATGGATGATGGGATTTGCAGTACCTTTACTCACTGAAGCCACTGTGACCCTCATCCAGTGACCGATCAAGACCAAACTTGGCACACAGAGCCCCCATGACCCGCTCTACATCCTGCTGCAGTTCTAAGGGGGATAGACCATGGATGATGGTATTTGTAGTGCGTTTATTCACTGAAATCACTGCGACC